TCTCCCATGCACATCATTAGCCTGATCAGCCCCTTATCTTGAGTCGATTTCGTAAGAAATTCTTCCTACACAACAAAAAAAGAGTCATTCTTTACACCATTCAACTACATTTACAGATTGCTCTATGGACCATAACTCACCAGACTGTCACCTAGCTCACATTTGGCCACAAGGGATGATGAGTTCTTTGCTCTTCTTGACACCCTTTGTGTCGATTTAGGCGAAAAGCGCAATGATTCCCCGAATAATGAACTTGGTTTCAGAGCCTGCACAACATTAATATACTTGTGTTACATTAAAGATCAGTGCTATTTTTCTTTTTCTGTTGTGCAGTTGGTGTTTGAAGCCTACAGATTACTAGTTGAACTCTGCATAGTACACATGCATATGCAGTACAACAATCTTTTTTGATTGACCCGAGAAATTCATCGCCACTACTACTAGAGAGTGTGTACTAAGTAAATCACGCTTATGGTCCTGATAAACAATTATAAATAGGTAAATCAGTCTAAATTGTGACCCTAACCGGTAAATAACCACAAGATGAAACACCAGGTTAACCATAGCCGACCAGCTTAGGTTCTGACCATAACCCTCAAAAGACCATGAGGAAGTAAAAATCAGTCTAAATTACTTATAACTGACCGACTGGTTAACAAATGCTTTCGATACAAGTCAAACTTGTAACTTGTGGTTATTAAGTCAACCATCTGATAACTTGGGTGAAGTTACCTTAGTACAACAATCTTGAAGAAAAAAAAAAAGAGGCACCAAACATCATTATCTGTAACAAGAAGACACATACCTTGTTGGTGAATGATGCAGAAATGGACCTCGGACTAGCCAGAGCAGCTGAATGTTGGGGAGAAACAACAACGTTTGGGAGGAGAGCTGCACGTGCGCAGCATGTGATGCCTGCAGTCTCCATGGCTATTGTAGAGATTCAAGCTAAGCTGGAACTTGAGGGGAAAGAATGAAGATTGGAAGAAAGCTTCAATTCAATTCTTACTTCTTAGGCATGGAACAGCCACCAGTAGGCAGCATGGATGGAGAGCTGCAAAGCTAGTAGATAAACGGGTGCTTGGATTTATGACACGTGGCGTGTGGTGTTATAGATAGGCTGATATGATGCATGATGGTACCATGAAATATTGGAGAATTTTTTGTAATAATCACAATCTCTAGTATATTTGTGGCTTATATGTTAGTGTCTTAGATAGTTAGATCAATGACTGTATATACGGCTCTGGCCCTACAAAGCGTCTTAGAGGATTTAAAGACCTGTTGCTTACTGCGTACGCTCCGGCCCCGGGTCGACAAAACGGCCCCGGGTCGACAAAACGGCTGGAGGATGTAAAGACCTTTGCTTATTGTGTACTTTAAGAGTTGTTGCTGCTAAGACTCGATTATGAGTCATTGTTCTCAAATTTCACCTATGTGACTAACCGAATTGTCTATGCGAGCCACACACATATAGAATTAATACCACTTGTTTGTCGCCCGATTATATAATTAGTATTTTCGTATTTAGTTCTTAGCTATCAATTTATACAGATTTCTCTTCGGTTTTTTTTAATTGACTAAAATTAATCTCAAATATTAATTGAATTTGGTTTTATTATAGTTGATTAATCAAACTTGATCAAATAGATAGTTGAAAGTGAAAAGTGAAAATACAACTATAATTGAGTGATTAAAATAGAAATGACTATTAGATTAGTCAAGGGACATGGATCTATGGTTTTCATTGTAGGGTGGGAGTGTCGGAGTGGCGACGGATTTAACTATTAAACTCTAGTTTATTTACATATTTTGGACTTTCCATTTTTGGAAAATGGAATTTAGAATGATTATTCTTGTGACTGATTATTTTGTAAGTAACTTAGAAACTGTTAGGAGGAACCGAGGGGGTAACAACTAAGTCCCGTTCTCTCACCTCTAGGAGGCCATCAAGGATACTACTTGCAAGGATTGGCCGGTTTTGTTATATACACCATGTCTACAAAGAAATAAATAGATGTGCGAATTGGATGGCTACTTATGATAAGACTCTCGGCCGAATAGGGGTTGCATGTGGTTGAGGAACCTTCAAAGCGCGCTCGTCTACTTTTTTTTTTTTTTTTTTTTTTTGCAAATATTATAGGAGTATGTTAGTATAGATCTAGATTCATGTAGTTTAATTTGTCTTTTTATTTTTGTATTTTCTCCCCGTATCCCATTAAAAAAAGAAAAGAAAAAAAGCAATTAACTATGTGTGTATGTAGAGATGGCCACCAGATTGGTACAAACCTAATCCACCCCCGATTAACTCAATTCTAAGCTAGCCAAATATTATTTAGATTTGACCGAAATTGAATTAAGATCAATTCTTACAAATTGAAATAATCTCTATCCCAATTATAAAATTACAAATGGTATAGTGCAACTCCATTCTTAAGGGAGACTTGACCTATACATGTATTCATGTAGAGTTGTCAAAACATATTAAGCCCACTGAGTTAGGCCTATATAACAATTTTTAATTTTAAGGCAAGTTAATTAGGCTATAACTATTCCTAGCCCAGACCATTTAACCTGTTTACCTCATAAATGTTTGCATTTAAATTTTAGTATGTTGTAATTTAAGTCATTTAATATGCAAATTCGTTGTTCAAGTGAACATTTGTACTCCTAATCTGAAAGACTGAAACAATATAGTTATTGAACATTTATTTTACAATTAAAAGTAGGGGACAAACTACGAAATTACGCTTTTAGGCATATGTGCTAATTCAACTTTATATCGATTGAGGTTGTTAGCCCAATGTGCTGCAGGCCCAAAAGTGTCAAATCAATTCCAGCTACCGATACCAAACTATACTGCCACTTCATACCTTACAATCTTACATTAATTGGACATCAACATCATCACTTGATTTTTATAAGGACTTAATTAACAATAAGATTGAACCGCACTAATACTTTACATTTAAACAAATGAATTTAAGTTTATCCTTATCGGGTGTGATTTGAACGTGACTATTGAATATATTTAATAAAAAGTTAAATACCTTGAGATTTTCTATTGAATTTGGTGTATGAAAGTGCTAAATACTTTATCTAACCTTAACATTGTATTAACTGTTTGCTTATTTATATATATAGGTGTGTGCGCGCGCTTGACGACAAAAATTAATAACGATTACTTAATAGTATTTACTAAATAAATTTCACTTGTATATAATAGTTCGCATTATCCACTTCTAAATGTTTGAGATTGGATTTGATTTTGTTGATGACTGAAAAAGGTAATATAAAATTGAGAAAATGATCAAATAAGTCCTTGAAACTTAAAAGTTAATTAGACCCCTAAACTTTTTAAAGGTGCAGTTACACCCATCAACAATTCATTTAGGTGCAATGATGCCCAAAAACAAGTTAATGACTTGCTATCACAGGTCATTAGGGTTCAGGCCACCTTCCGGCGAATTTTCCAACAAAAAAAAAGTAACCAGCAATCGACCTAGATTTGCCGAAAAATTCGCCGGGAGGTGTCCTGAACCTTAATGACCTGTGATAGTAGGTCATTAATTTGTTTTTGAACTTCATTGCACTTAAATGAATTGTTGATGAGTGTAATTGCACATTTTAAAAGTTCAAGGACTTAATTGACTTTTAAGCTAAAATTCGAGAGCCTATTTGACCATTTTCCCGATAAAATTTGATATACTTTTCTCATAATCAACACCATTCTTCTTTTTCCGTATAGATACTCCAATAATGTTTCGCCAACGTGGCCCAATTGCGCATGTTGTTCCTTGGAGTCTTGGAGATTCCAAATTCCCAATCAATGATTCAATGTCCACCTTTCTGGATTTTCTAAAAAAAACAAGAATATATTGTTTTCAAAAATAAAAAAATCAATAATATTTAAAGCATTATTTGCTTTTAAATCAAAATATTCAAAATGTCCCTATAAACATTTTACACATTTTTAAAAATATTTAACACAACTTGATATTTCTATAATTGATGATTTTTTTCTCAAGACAATGAAAACAAAAAACTGATATTATGTGAAAAGCTCATGGTATCCTCTTGAATCTTGTAAAAGAAAGAAAGTGAAAGGGATGAAAAAAGGAATTTGACAAAAAAAAAATTGAAAAAAAAAAAAGCAAAAAAAAAACATATTTACACGCCCAATAGGCGCATGCTATGCACACGCCAATTGGGCACGAATATTGCGCCATATGCGCGTATCACAACTTCATGTCCTCTTTTCAGTTAGACCCCAGGAAAAATCCAATTTTGTAGTATAAAAAATCACCTAAAAACCACACATTCCCATTAGTGTAGAAACTATAGTTTAGATTTTTTTCTTCTTCAAAAACGGTGAAAAAATTACTGTTGTGGATGCCCTTAAAAATCGTGAGTTAGATTTTGAAATAAGGTCCAAATTGATCACGAAACGTAATCTGAAAATACTATTAGGCTATTGAACAAAACAAAAAAGTGTAATTAGATCATTAAACACTTCAAATGTGTGCAATTTCACTTGATAACATGGTATTCATTTTTCATGTTATTTGCTTTACGTGAAAGGTGAATTGACATTTTAAATAATTTTTAATAATAAACTTTAAAATAAAAATAAAATAAATAAATAAACAAATAAAACGCTGAGTGGCCATCAACCACCCCTTCTTTCGTCTCCATGTCTTCGTCTCTGACCGAAAACGAAGACTGACTCTTCGTTCGTATCCAACATGAGACGAAGGAGGAGGCGGGGGAAAGGGGTGGCTGGCCACCCTGTATTTTTTTTTTTTTTTTAAATTATTATTAAAATGATTTAAAAATGTCAATTCATCATCCACGTAAGCAAATAATTTGATAAAATGAATAGTAACCTACTATCAGATGAAATTGCATACATTTGGGGCGTTTAGTGGCCTAATTGTATTTTTTTGATCTAATTACACTTATTGGACATAAATGCCCTTCATATATGTTTTTTTTTTAACTCCCATAGTCAGCTACTCAGCTCCAAGTCTCCAACATGGCCATCTGGCCGATGCATTTTTCCATTCTCCGTTGTCCATGAAACTCTCAACTCTCAGTCGTCTCAGTCCTTCTTCTGATTGACTGTAAGGTAATATCACCGCCACCCTAATTTGTCTCTAACTCTATATGTGTGCGCGTGTGTATGTATGTATATACCTGCCTATGTTCTTCAAGATTCAATTTTTTTCAGCTGAAACGTTCGTTGATTGGATACTTGGCATTGAAATCTTGGATTAGCTTTCTATTCCCCTCAAGATTTCTAGATTTTACTTGCTTATCAGTAGTGGGTATGTGCTATTAGAAGCTTATGTGGAATTGTGGACATTCTTGCATTTGTTTTATCAACTTTTTCAGGGCTGATTTCATTTGGAAAACTCTTGTTCAGATCAGGTGTTTTTTTTTTCTCCTCTGAATCATATATTGTTCACATCTATTTTCTGATTACTTGTGGACCCAATTCTTCATCCTGTATAAATCAATCAAAAAAATTGTGTTATGAAATGCCTTCTGAATTCTGATTCTGATTCTGTATTCAGTAAATACTAAAAAGTTGAGGTTCTACACAACAATCTAAATGTTTGACTGGGTTTGTATTTTGAGATTGTTTTTAGTGGAATCAGAAAAGGGTTAGCCTGCATTCATGTGTATGTCTTTTTATATGTTTGATAGGGGAAGAGACTTGATTGTGATTTGTGTCTACTGCTGACATTGTGATGCAGATTCTTGTGAGTTGTTGGATCTTTTGTTTTTGCAATAGTTTTTTACGAGGGTGTGTACTAGGTAAACCCCGCCTGATCTTAGCGGACTACAAGGAGGTAAACCAGCCTAGGTAGTTCATAGCTGACCGGCTTAAACCAAGAAGACCAATAGGTCACTCCCACTGGGAGTCGAACTTGTAATCTTGTGGTTACCAAGGCTATAGTCCGACTAACTTGGTTGGGGGTGACATACTATCTTTATATCTGCTAAAGAATACATCTTGATTTGCCAATAAAAATGGCAGGTGATCCGTTACCGTCTAGAAGGGAACTTGATCATTGTTTAAAGGGCGTGAGTTGAGCTAAAGCATCCTGGTAAGTCTGATCGCCATGTCTGCATATGGCCATATAATGGAAAGGGAAATCTCGGCTCACAGTCTTTCGAGCAGAGGAAATTCGGGTTTGTATAATTGTATTCTGAGTTTATTCACACTTTCCTACCTAGTATAGATCAAAGTACACTAAGGTTTCATTTCTGACATTTTAACTAAAAGAAATGTGCTCAGTTTGATGTCCATGAGATAAAGATTAATTTATACTATACCTTTGCAGAAATGGGAAGCCGTTTTACTATGGAGACAGGAATTTACATGTCGTCTTTTGCTGCCACAGTCTTCATTGCTGGGCTTGTAACAGTTGGGGTTTCGTTAATGACACTACTGATAACCTTGACAGTGATGTTACAGTCCTGCCAGAACAAAAATTCTGGGGTTATACAGAGTCTTCGGGCGTCAAAATCCACTTATAATTATCATTACTGCTTGGCTTTTACTATGCATATGGAGCTGAACACTTTGGATTCGGATTCTTTCCCCGATATTTGTAAGGATGCTGCAATTCAGTACATCAAAGAAGGCCAATACATGAACGATTTAAATGTTACCGTGCAGTTGGCTGAGAAATACTTCAGCACTATCAAACCGCTAGAAGATGGTAAGGATGTTGTGTTGATGGATGCTGATGACTTTTTCCCCGAAGACCTCTTATACCCGAACCTATCATTTCATCAGTTATGTTCTTCTAATAGTAACAAGCTTCCTTTCAGTTCACCACTATCTTATCTTCCTCGTTTCATCGTTTCTCAGGCAGTGTTTACTGAGTAAAGTTAAACTAATAGTACCTATCTTTTGGCAGATCCCGAGAAAATGGTTGCTCTGATTGTACAGATGACTATGAGAAAAACCCGAAGCATGTTTTTGTCCAAAAATTGTACATGAAACTTCAAGCCAGAGGGTGGCAGCTGGTTTTGCTATCAAGGAAGCCCGAGAGATTACGTAATGCCACAATAGAATACCTTCTTTCATCAGAATGCAGTGGGTGGTCGTCATTAATTATGAGGTACTCCCACTTCAAGATATTAATTATAGCCTCGGTTGCTCATTAAGACAAAACTATCAATGCATAAATGGATATTGTGTGACATATTGCGTTCAATCATGATTTACATGTTCTTCCGTGTGTGTGTAAACGAGGTTTTTAAGGTGTAGACTTTCTTGCAAATGGGGGCAACCCCAGTTGAGCTGGTCAGATAGTTGGCTTGGTAATCGCAAAGTTCCAAGTTTGACTCCTCGTGAGAGCTGTCCATTGGCTTTCTTGGTTTGAACTGGTCAGATATGGGTAACCTAGGTTGTTTTAGTGGGTTTCACCCATAGCTCATTTTCGGACAGTGGTTGCAGGTTTTCCCGTAAATCAAAGACTTTCTTGCAAATTTTTTTACTCGTAGTTCTTGAAGATGGAAAAAAAGAAAGGAAAACTGCAGAAATATGGTCAGACTTTCTGACAGGTGTTTTGCTAATTGGCTATACTATTGCAGAAAGAACCACGAAATGCAAACAGATACACGGGAATACTTTTCTGCACAAAGGGCAGCATTGCAAGATGCAGGATTTCGTATTGTAGCTGCTATTAGCAGCCATTTGGACGCCCTAACTGGTCCCTCTCCAGGAAACCGCGTTTTCAAGCTACCAAATCCTGTTTCAGTATCAAGCCAGCACAATATTTCGAGTGCTTGAACCAACCGAAGAAGATTACAGATTCTTGCCAGGAAAAAACAAAGTCACTGGGATTGACCATCCTGCTTCCCTGTCTAAGCTACTGTTCCTGCTGCTTGAATATAATGTTTTAAGTAGAATGAAAGTTCCACAATCTTGTCGGGCGAGGGTGTGGGGCCCTGGTGCCTGGGGACGATGGACTTCGCCTTTTGAGGGTGAATAGAATGAAAGTTGCCATAGAAAAGATTGACACAAGTTTGTGAATTGTATATGTTGGTGTACAGTTGCAATTTTGATATTGCTGTAGATTTACAGATCAAAAGCTTGCATTTTGCTGGAATTGGATGAACAAGTACATGCAAAATCTTCTAATACAATTATTATTTTTTATTGTTGTTTAATGTATGAAATGATGTTGAGTGTTATCCAGTTTAATGGAGATTTTTGAAGATCTTGTATACTACACTAATCTTGTATTGTGTATTCGATCACTTTGCATGCAAAAGACGAAATTCCTTGTTTCTGGGTCTCCACACTCCGGCTTTACAGGGATTGTGGAGGAGTTAAATTACGGTAATTTAACTGCCTCTTAAATGAGAGGACCAGTGCTTAGTGCCTACAATAAGTCGAAGATAAAACTCCATACTGCGACTGTCTGAATTTGATACAATAACAATAAAATGTGTTTTGTGGTTTTTATTTAAAATTTATTATATGAACTCTTAATCTCTACTCCCTTAGTTTTACTTCTTGAAATGACAACTATATATAAGTTATCTTTAATATGTGCATTCAAGAAAAATGTATATAGTTTGGGAAGAAGAAAAATGTTTATATCAAAATTTAGGTGAGAGAGAGTAAAATTAGAGATTACAAAGTAAGATTTTCCTTTTTTACTTTGCTGTTGACTGCACTGTGGAAAAAAGCCACCGCATTTATGCTATTTTGACCCGTAAAGTGGAGCCAAAGACCTCTGCAGTGAGGATATTTTTGTTCCCTTTCTCTCTCCTCATCATCATCCACTTCGCCATCTCCAAATTCTCTCTCTCCTCGAAGATATATAACGGAACGTCGTACGCAGAGTCGCGGAGTGATTCTTAGTTCAAGGTTTCCCAAATAGTTTGGATCCGACGTTTCGCCTTGTTTTTCTGGAACTCCACTCTGATCTGCAGAAGCACAAGCTGGTAGATCAAGAACTCCCTTTTTTCTTCAAGGTTTGCTTCTTTCACTTGCCCATTGTTTTCCATATTTCAATCGAGATCTCATATGAATTGGGTTTGATTTTTCTTGCATCAAATCGGTTTGTGATGGCACCTTAATGCACATAAAATGGCAGTCAAATAATAAGGGAAAGACTGATTTTTTATTTTTATTTTTTAAAACTGTTAAATTCTGAGTTGAATCTTAGGTTTGAAGGGTCAGATCTGGACTTTGCTTTTGAGGGATTTTAGGAGCACAAAAAAGAGAATGTCTTTCATTGGGACTCAGCAGAAATGCAAGGCTTGTGAGAAGACAGTTTATCCTGTGGAGCTGTTGTCAGCTGATGGGATTAATTATCACAAGTCTTGCTTCAGATGCAGCCATTGCAAAGGCACCCTTAAGGTAAAATTCTTCCTACATTCATAGGCCTTATTATTTGATATATGTTCTATGCATTTTGATTCTCTAATCCTCTTAAATAGATTGCAATCACCATTTCTTATAGAATTAAGCTTATGGGAACAACTTAGCTAAAATCATCACATTATTGACTTGGTAATCACAAGGTTACAAGTTCTACTCTGAACGGTAGTGGCCTATTGGCCTTGGCAACCTAAGCTGGTTTACCTCCTTGTGGAAGCTTTTGGCCTTATTGGTTTGAGTTGGTTAGCTTTGGGCAACTTAGGCTGGTTTACCTCTTTGTGGTTCTTTGCTGGCTATGGTCACAAGGGAGATTTACTCGGTCTACACCCTCGAGTATTGGCTGCGGACCGCGGTTTCTCTCGTTACTAAAAAGTCATCACATATAAAGAATTGTACTTTATATAATGGATAATGGTCTTTCTCTCTGATTAGTAGGAAATTCATAATATTGGTTGTTTGAGAGCAATATGATGTCGCTTCACTTTGTTGTTCTATTATTCATGGGTTCTGATTTTGATCTTGTTACTTATGATGCATTGTGTTAGCTGAGTAATTACTCCTCAATGGAAGGTGTTCTGTACTGTAAGCCCCATTTCGAGCAGCTCTTCAAGGAATCAGGGAATTTCAATAAGAATTTTCAGTCACGTAAGTCTTGTCCTTTTGTCTTTAATGTATCTTTAAAAAAAAAAAACAATTTTAAAATGATTCTGCTTCTACTTCTTTGCTTATTTTTCTGTACTTATACTTTCAACAGCTGCAAAGTCGGCTGACAAGTTAACCCCAGAGCTGGTAAATTTTCTTGACAACTATTTATATCTATACATTATCAAGTGCAAACAGTGTCTAAGTTATGGGATATGTTGTTATCAGTGTCTGAATCATTGTACCTTTTTCGTTTTGGTATTCAGACAAGGTCCCCTAGCAAAGCTGCCAGCATGTTCTCCGGGACACAGGAAAAATGTGCTACTTGTGGGAAGACAGCTTACCCTCTGGAGAAGGTTAGATATATAGATTCCCAGAATTTCACTTCATTATAATTCTTGACATTTGATGCAGTCTTTTGTAGTATTTCTCTGATTTTGCTAACACTAACGAGTACACTATACCTTTACGATCTCCTATGAGGTTCTATTTCTCCATTCAACTCTCTTTAACGTTAATTTGGTTCTAACTCTTTGTACTGGCATATGTTTGGTCAGATGTCTAGCCAAGTAAGTTCACCCTTGCCTGTCTGTTTCCTACTACCATGTGACCTTGTAATACTTAACCTTAAGTTGAAAATATGAAGCGTCGTTTTTGTTCCGTTTCCCCTGAATAAGTCGTTTGGTAAATGGCTGTTAGCTGATTGGGTTATAGGGTATGACTGGTTGATAACATTAGCTGATTGTAGAAAAGTGTTTGGTAAATTAGCTGATAGCTGTTTAGTATAATTTCTTTTCTCAAAAAGCTAATTGAAAAAGGTGCTTTGAGTAGCTTTTTGAATTTTAGCATTTTGGAGTTACAAAAAGTTGATTAACCAAACACTTATATTGATTTTTTAACCAAATCAAACAACTAATAGTGTGGTCAAATAAGCCAAAATTGGCTGATAAGCTAACTATTTTACCAAACAGGGTCGAAAGCTCACTACATATGGAACTGGAACTGAATGAATCAAGAATAAACGAGGGTTTTTCTTTTTCGTGCTTTTTCAGGTGACAGTGGAGAACCAATCCTACCACAAGTCGTGTTTTAAATGTTCTCATGGTGGATGCTCTTTAACTCCCTCGAACTATGCAGCACTGGATGGAATCTTATATTGCAAACCTCATTTCTCCCAGCTATTCAAGGAGAAAGGTAGCTACAACCACCTAATCAAGTCAGCCTCGGTGAAGCGCCCGACAACTCCAGTTCCTGAAGCTTGAAAATCTCTTCCCCTTCTTCGTTATTTCTCTACTGGCCATTTGCCTTCTTTCTTTCTTTCTTTCTTTCGGTGTGTTTCCTCGCTCTCTTTTTACCTCTGGCCAGTAGCATAACCGACTACTTTCACAATTGAGACTCTCGGAGTGTTTAATATACCTTGTGGTGTGAGATGGGTTTTGTCCTTGATTATGACATAAGTTCTGCTGTCACTAGTCCCTTCCAATGGTTGGGGCTGTACATTGTTGCAATGAGAATGCTGGTCTTTTTATCCTATGGTGTGGGTTTGAATGCTGATATTATTGTTCATAGATTCTTTGATCTTTTTGTACTTCTGTGCTACTTATTGTCAAAATATGTTCATGAACTTGAGTCATAAAAACATATTTGGGTTACACACGAAAGAGCATGGTGTTGATAATATCTTATACAATCATGTATACAATACTTAGTACTGAGTACTATTAGCATCAACTGTAATAGTACTTAGTACAATCAGGCATATCATTCTTGGTTAAACCTAATACTGCTGATCGAAACTGTTGAACTTAAAATAATATATGTGTGTGTTTTGTTTAGTTAAGAGTAATACATTGAGTAAACGGCCCGTCAATTGAAACCCGTTGAACTTAAAATAATACGGAGTATATATGTATGTGTTTTGTTTAGTTGAGGGTGATACATTAAGTAAACGGTTTTTTTTTTTTTTTTTTTTTTTTTTTTTTTTTTTTTTAAATAGTTTTGATAAGAAAAAAAAAATTAGAGTTATCTAGGGTTGTTGAGCATAAAGTTTCAGAGATTGGTCACATCAGATTCTATTTGGCCCCCAAGATAAAAGAAGATGAGGAGGCTGCCCCAACCACTTGGGAGTTGGGAGACAAGATCTAAAGACAGAAAGCAAGGCCAAGGTGTAAAATACACCTTGCCTGAGCTCCCTCTTGCTATCCTAGTAAGCTGGATGCGGAGATTCGAACCCATGACCCTCTTTGGCATGGTTCTGATATCAAATTTAAACATGTTCTTTATCTCAACTAAAAAGTCTAAGCTGATAGTTAGATTGCACATTTATGTTTATATACTCAACAACAATCACTACTGGAAGATAGTTAGATTGCACATTTATGTTTATATATTCAACAACAATCACTATTGGAAGGTACTCTCTGAATGATTGCAGAGCTCATGTAGAGTTCAACTTGAAATCTTGTAGTTAACAAATTAACTGTTAGACTAATTCGACTGGATTGCTCCCATTTGATTCTTTATTTGTTTAGCCTAAAACGAGAGCTTAGTGAATTTACTATTGTTTTTACGACATAACTTTGGGTCTATGATTTTAAAAGAAGAAAAACAATCATAGGAAACATAGAGAATACCTTTTAGTCTTTTACCTGTCAAAACAGTTCACTCAACCATCTTGAAGAATTGCTGCTTTAATTTAAATACAACTATGACATCACAGCTCGTTTGGTTCGCTGGAAAATATTTGAAGGGAAATGGAATTGAAATTTCATGGAAAATAAATTCCAGAAAAATTGATTCAATTGTTTGGTTGGTGGAAATGAAATTACTGGAAATATGAATTCCATTGTTTGGTTGGGTTTAGAAAGATAAGGAATAATGAATATAAAGACCAATATGCCCTTAAAAAGATGAATGAATAAATAAGTGTCTATGTAATTAAGAAATTTTCATAAGGGTAAAATGGTACACTGATGTTATTTTTCTTCCCATTCCTTGTGGAAAACAAAATCCCACCCCTTTGCAAAGAATTTATTTTCCTCAACTTTGAGAAATCCATTTTCCAATGGAAAATGTTTTCCATCCAACCAAACAACATAAACCAACATTTTCCTTCACTTTGAAGAAAATATTTTCCATCTAACCAAACACCCCCGAATAAGTTTGTTAGTTGACATCACCATAGAAATGATCTTTCACCAGCAAGAAAGGCTGCTTTTGACTAAACATACTTCCTTTAATGCAATTTAGGATTAAAAAAAGAAAAAAGAAAAATAGAAAGCCTGTCAAGAAAATACAAATGTAAAATTGATAAGTCTTTTCTATTGTTAATAAAATATGGAACAAGTTATACCATGCTGTATAGACTGAATGCTACAGTATTTTCTGAAAAAAAAAAAAAAAAAAAAAAAACCTATCTTTCTTTCATAGTCCCATGATGCTGGGAAGAATGGAGAGATTAAAAGTAGCTTATTGAGAATTCCTGTTCTGGCTAATCTGGTTACAGATTGATACAAGATGGAATCCCTTGTACAGGTTCCGGGGCGAAAAAATTAAAATGAGGGCAGAATCTGAGGCAGCCATGAGATGCAACTAGCTGTTGAAGCTTGCTCCCAATGTCCTTGAGCGACAAAATTAACAGAACCCTTTGTTGATTCCTTTCCTCGTTAACTTTTCTTTCATCTACTACGTTTCTTAGCTTCACTATAAAGAACAACACCGAAAACTGTCAGGGAATAGCCTAGCATCCCTGTAACGGAGACTGGATTTCTAAATATTAGTATGGATACAACCACGGCTACAGCTCCTTTAGCATTCCCCAGAACCTGTAGGAGCCAACAACAATCTGTTAGGAGCACAGTGACAAGAAGATATGTACCGACTGACTTTAAAGAAAATGAACCTAAAAGAGAAAAGTACAAAAAGAAACAATCATAAAAAAGAAATTCATAGTTCAGATCAAGCAAAGGTCTAATAGCCTCAGATGTTCTTTTAGAATAAAGATTAAGCTGTAATATACTTAATCTCGACTGAAACAATGGACCCTTTTTATTTTTTAACTTTACTTTCTTGAATTCATGTATTAACATTAACATTAAAATCACGAGATCATGGAGAGATATAGCTTGACTAAAAAAAGTCAAGAAATAATACCTGAAGTGTTAGCGCACTGGTGTGTTTTGTGACCAAAAAATTGGTCAAATTTACAAAATAAGCAAGTGCAGAATTGAATAGTAGTAACCAGACAATATTCATATCATTTCTTGCAAGTGCCAATGTGATACCAACGACGTTCTCTTCCATAATTATAGTCGCTGGTAACAGAAGTACAACAGCTAGAGGAGCCATGTAGAGCAGAAGGTTCATGGAATTCAGCTTCTCCCTTAAATAACCAAAAAAAAAAATAAAAAAATTTCAGGTTCCATGGCCAAATTATTCATATACCACAATCAATTTCGGTATTTGATTTAAGATACAGCATAAAACTACAAACGAAATGTTACCCTTCAGAAGAAAGCAAGATCCCTTGAAGCACTGACTTGAGTGCCCTGGCAGCTGTGGCACCGATACAAACAATGAACCCAAATAAATGGAAGCTTGGCTCACCCTACAATCATCAAAAGATAGATATGAACATACGAAAACTCTTCTCCAGAATATGTCAGATACAAAGGCCTAATGTTTCATAAGACTAGTTTACCAAATATGGCAAAGAAGAGAAGTTCACAAACAAGCATCCCCACTTCCCCAGACATCCTCATCTAATCACCAGCTAAAACTCGGTTTCATTTCAGTTTGTAATCTACTTTTGTCAGTTTGTAAATATAGACAATAAAACGTTTTACTACTGAAAAATTATATATATATCAGATTTTGACTACTAGTACACAGTTACCTGTGGCTTCATTAGAGACAACGATCTCATTCATTTATGCCACTCCCAGAAATATAGTTTAGCCCCTGTTTCCCATCCAACATGATAAGGTGTCACATTGCAACAGTCAATCATTATACCATGCACCATGGTCCACCTTACAGATGTAAGAAATCCATTTTTAGTATACTGAATGTTTATTTTTAGCGCATTGAAGGTTTACTTTTAGATATATTACCAAAAAGTAAACTTTCGGTATATTAAAAATTAACATTTAATATACTAAAAATGAACATTTATTCGTAGTTCACATTGCAACATGGACCATGGTCCATAGTATAATTTGCCACAAAGGAGCAAGCCAATTTGTTAAACAAATGCAAGCAAATCAATGAAAATGTGATTAAACAGCATCATAAAAGACCCATTTTTAAGATTGTTATCGGAATTCAGTTAAGGGGCCGGAGAAAGCAAAGAAAACATACCCCGCTGGCGATGACAACTCCGGTGACAACAGGGATAAGAGTTGCATAAGTGAGCCAAGCCTCTCTCTTCAGAGTCATCAAATAGGCAAAGACGGCAGTGAAGAAAGGCGTGGTGGCGCCAATCGCCTGGTTGAACGAAACCGGCAAGTAACGGAGGGAGATGTTGCCGCTGACTACGGAGGTGCAAAAGACGAGACTTAAAGCCGCGATCTTGAGGAATTGAACCCTAGATCTTATCGTCTGCAGTGGAACCATCTTCATCCACGCAATGGCGATGTAGCTGAGCAGCGAGCAAGCCGTCATGTGGCACATGGTGAGAAAGATCGGGTATTTAAACCCGTAACTGCTCAGCAAGTACTTGTTCAGCAGCAAAACCCCAATGTTGGACGAATACCACGCTCCCACCAGCCCGATCGTGAACAACCGGCCGGATGTCTTCATCACCGACATTGAATCAGTCTACCCAAACCCCAACCTCTCCTTCCTCAAAATTCTCCCAGAAAATGGGAAAAAACAACAAAATTACACGGAATTGAAACCGGATCTGCCCCAAAAAGAGTGAATCAACAATGAAAAACAAAACCACAACGGATAAGATTCAACAAATTCAATACAAAAGAGAGAGAGAAAACAAAATTCAGATACATTTATGGATAAGAATCCTCATATCTCTCAGCCTGTCTAGGTTAACGCTCTCCGGCGGAGTGGGAGAATTGGGGAGAGAGGATCACCGACGGAGAAAATGCCGGGGAGCAACTTCAGTTCGATAATTCGATTCGCATCTTATAAATAGGGATTAATTAATTGAGTTTAGCGGTAATTAGTTTTCATAATAAAGTAATACTCCGTCTTAGTACTCTCTTTGCTGCAACTTGCTATTTTAAACTAATCCTAGTCTTTGGTCAAATTTGAACCCCCCCCCCTCAATTTTGTAATAATACTATTTTCTACCCCAATATCTTTTGGAATCTCACTTTACTCCGTTTTTCTTTTTTATACCACCAACAAAATCTTAAATTGCAATTATGTATGGTAAAACAAAGGTTGTTAATAGAAAGCAACAATTAGTTGTATGATATGCACGTTGCAAAAATCGACCTAGGCCGCCTAACTCAGTCGATTCGACGATGAATTGAGCCAAATTTAGCCGAATTAGCATATTTTACTCAGAAAACTAAACCCTTGCATTTTACTATTTTTTTTAAGTTAGCCGCCTAACGCCTACTACAACTATGATGATATGTTATTCAAATATATGGGGATAAAACAAAAACTAGACTAATCAATTTTGGTTAATATTAACCCATTTCTACCCAATTTCTTTGCAACATAACTTAACCCATTTCTACCCAATTTCTTTGCAACATAACTCAACCAGCTGCTTAGTTATCCATAGTTAGCAATGATCACAAGAAAATAAATTAATTACCCATAACTGACCGACTTAAACCAAGAAAACCATCAATAAATAACTTTCATAAGAAGTCAACTTAAAATCTTGTGATTACTAAATCAGCTGTATAACCATCTTGGCAAAAACTGTCACCACTTATAGCTCACTATGTTTCATGCAACATAGTTCACATGTCACTATTTTTACCAGATAGACTAGATCTCCAACAAGTGGAGCATTAAATGAGCATTCAATAACTCATTGAATATTTTATCATTTGGAGAATTCACTCCCTAGAGGAGATGACTGCCTTGCCAGGCAATGCAAGAACTTATAGCATTTCCTGTATAACTGCATTTAGCCTTGCAAGATCAGTATGTATGAAGCTTATTGACAGTAGTGAGATAACTGAAATTTGTGCTGGGACAAAGATAGTAAACAAAAGCATGCGGCAGAAATCATGTGTAAGTACAAAAAATGAGCAAAATTAGTTTCATCTAACAAGATGTCCAATGGTTTTGTGCTACTAAAACAAGGTTGAATGACAAAAGGCACATATGATCAAAACAAGACACAAATATAACTGGAGTATGTAGTAAAGATGCAGCTACATAAATCACTGGAGATCTTCAAAAGCAACCCACCATGCATCTTCAACATTCTAGCTGCACGGCAAAACAAATTACAAGAATCAATCAGCAACTTCACTCTCAAATGGGTTAAAAGCAGAAATATACTAAAACTTTATATCAGGTTGATGCAAGGGTGTGAGTTGGGGTATGTTTACAAGTATCCACCCACTCAACAAACAGAGACTCACACTTCTAAGCAGACCCAAAATAGAGAGACCTTAAAAGTATGATAGCTTTTATACATTGGCAAAAGTAAGAAAAGATAGCATAGTATAAATTTTATTAGGAATTAGATTGGCTTCCTAGACAAAAAGAGTGTTCTTTTACCATATACATTCTTCAGAACATGTCACCCAAAGTAAATACATCCAGCCAATTTAATTCAACTACAAATATTTACATTCACAAAACAAGTACACATATTTATGGAAACCCACAACTCCATACTGAAATTTTACCAATGGGTTTGTCTCTAACCATACAAGTAAAACTCAAAGCATATCAACAATAGGAATGTTCCTTTAACTTATACATGACAGCATCAATTCATCCTATCCTATATATATAAAGTACAAAAACAAGAAATGACATGTGAATACCTTAGATGTTGCTTGGGTACATGAAAACTCTAACCTTGTTACCCTGCAAATTCAGAAAGAAAAAAAAAACGAATACATTAAGGATTAGAAAAGAGACGAAAAAACTATAAAAATGTTAGCTTTGCACAAATAGTTGCTATGAATTGAAGTGGGTGGAGCAATAGAAACGCACCATGGATTTGGGTGGGAGGTTGGACTTGAACTTAGCTCTGACGACGCCACTGTTGCCGTGAGGCCTGCAGACCTTTCCCCAGATGCAGCGGTAGTGAGAGCCGCCCTTCTTGGTCTTAGCCTTGTAGACGTAGGCCATGCGCTTTCCCAGGTACCATGCCACTTCCTCCTGGGTGTTCACTCCTTCGATCTGAATCAGTGAGGTGTTCGGATACTGATTCGACTTCGACCTATTCCCCAATTCACACACATTCGTTCATAAATCAATCAAAAAGGGAAATAAAAAGATGGTAAACACGGGGTTTTTCAGTTTCATATTCATATATTCTCACCTCTTGTAACCGAGAACCGTTCCTCTAACATACAGTCTGCGATCAGAACAGAAACAAATCCACTAATCAGTATTTGAAAGTGGAGGAAAAGACAGAGAAAGCAAAGGGAGAGGAGAAGATGGGTGACCTGACACGCTCGCCTTGACGTCCTTTCACCATTTTCACCGTTGGAAGGCGGAGCAGCTGCGGAGAGTGATTCAGAGACCTAAGCTAAACCCTAATTTGGTGGTTCAGTGGAAGATAGGTTTTATATGGCGGGAGTGGGTTCATTCGGGCCATTGGGCCGGTGAAAACAATGGGCCTATCCAATTCGGCCTGTGAACGTAATGGGCCGTTCCAATTCAATGAACCAATTAAAAATTAAAATTAAAATTAAAAAAATAATATTTTTTTGATCTTTCAGTTATACACTTATACCTGTTGTATAATTTGTCTCGAGTTATATGTGTAATTATTTTTAATTTTTAAGTTATGAAAAGCTACAATTATACTCAAGTAGTCCAATTTTATCTCTCTAATATTAAGCTCACATTACCTCATTTTTATAGCCAATGTAAAAATAAATCTCGAGTTGCGTAATAATTTTATCGATCAAATTCACATCAAGTCAAATGATTAATCATTACGCTAAGGTATTAAGGACAAATCAACCACCTTATTAAATTATATAATGGTAGCAAAAATAATTTTTAATAGATTAAAAAATCACTACTTCACTCATTACGGAGTAATTTAAACATGCCCGCATAGGTTTAGTTCAATGATTCATTAGAAATATTTGAGAGAAGAGACGAATATTTGAACCTCGGCAGCGACTATGCTTAAAGTGGACAAATCTTTAATCACAATGATATTGAAGTCACGTCTATTGAGTCATTGAGTTACCCAATTTACATTTTTCCAATTGCTAGCCTTTGGAGTTAGGAATTCAACTTTTTAAGAGAATGAGTAATTTAAAGATTAAAATTAATTAAAGATAGTTATACATATAAGTCAATGATTAAATTTATATCGGGTATAAAATGAAGTACAAAAGTTGCAATTTTCCAAATTAAAAATAGCTTCATCGGCGATCGCTCTTCTTCTCGGGTCGCCTGAGCAAAACTCTCAAACTAAGCAATAACAGAGAAAGGGGTTTTGGTTATCAACTCGTAGTGATTCGATTGGGCCCGTGCGAACTCGACTGCGTCGATTCATCGCTCTTAGATCAGTGGCTCCACCCAATTTTACTTGGTACGCCTGTAGATCAGATTCAATCCTTCAATTTCTCGATTTTTATTCATTTTCACCGCTTCTTCGTGCCTTTTTGTTACTGATTTTGCTCATAGTTCTGTTTTGAACCTATTCAGCTCCGTTTCTGATCCTCTTTTAGCATTTTAGGATCTTTGTTTTTCTCGGCGCGCTGCTTCGCTTCGTTCTATGTGAAGAAAAAACTTGAATCATTAGGTCCTATGTAATGAAAAACAATTGAATCTGTAGATCCTCCTCCCTTTGTTTTGATTTTAATAAATCTTTGTGTAATGGCTATAACGGGTTACCGATAGACATTGAAAATTAGGGTTCTTTATGGAACTTTTTAGAGACTGAATGTATCTACTTAGATGCTACCTGTTAATAGTAGGCTAGTTTGGTAAAGCTTTTGATTATGGAATGTGAGTAATGCATGAGTTCTTCTGACTTGGTTATGGAGACTTAGCTTAAATAAGCTAAATGGTAGTGCAATTCATAAATCATAATGTTTGCTGAACAGTTCCCATAACTGCTTTGCCAAATTTCTGTTTTAGAAAATCATTTTCTTGATCAAACCTGCTGGGATAACAAAAATTGAAGTGAATCTCCTAAAATATGAGTTATTATTAGGATTTGATATATGGAGTAATGGAGCCTTATGATCACTTATGGTTGTAACCTGTATAAAATTTCTAAACTAGGTATCTTGACATTCTTGAAAATATAGAAGTGTGGTGATCTTTTTTTTTTTTTTTGGGTGCGCATAGAAGTGTGGTGATGTTCTTCTTCTTTATTTTGTGAAATTCCCAAATCCCAAGAAGCTATTAGGAATTTTAACAATATGTGCAAACATGTTTTGATAATGAATTGCCAAATGAAGCAGGAAATGGGTTTATGGACACTGCTGGAGGGATGTCTGCTTCTTGCCAATGCATTGGCAATACTAAATGAAGACCGTTTTCTTGCTCCTAGAGGCTGGAGCTTCCAGGAATATTCGGGCATTAAGAGAAATTCTTTCAAGGGGCAGATTCTCGGTCTTATTTATGCAACCCAGTACTTGAGAGTTCCTCTCTTGCTTCTCAACATTCTTTGCATTGTTGTAAAGCTTGTATCTGGATAACCAACCTTTAGGTCAGTTGATATCAAGGTACATGTTTTATTGGATAACGCTTGTATCTGTATAATCATCTTCAATCTTGTATCGGGTGTTTTTTTTTTTTTTTGTCTCGCCCGGGGAATTATTGACTATTCCAATCTTCCTGATTATTGAATAATGTGTCCTTTGTTGCCATATGACAGCAGACATTCAAGTTTATCGATGGAACAGAATCCTTCCAACTCCAGGAAAAGCAGAAATAGAAGAACGTGTTTTGTCCATGATAACAACGATCCTGTTAGAGTTTCTTTCTCTCTTCTTGATGTATTACTTCTAGATTTGTAAGTTGTGCCAGGATGAAACAATTTTCTGAGGTTGCTGTATTATACATTGTTAAGACATCAATTAGTTTCCAATTGTTTGAATACTTCTGCTCTTTTCATATTCAGAGTTCATCTTTCTTGGAACTAAGCTTGTAGTTTATGCTGGGATGATTCTTCTTCCTGTCCAATAGCCCAATTTGTTAACTTCCTGTGCCATTTTATGAGTCATGAAAATACACTAGAGCATCCAGGGGTGTTTGGTTTGCGGAACATGAAATTCTTGTAACGTGATAGTTTATTATTATATTCTAGGTGTTTAGTTCGAGTTACGTTGTGCTCGGTAGGAATGTCGTATTACTATTACATTCCAGGAGTTTAGTTTGGGTTATGATATACTCTGTATGACTGTCATATTACCGCTCTAAGGTAATCTGACATTCTGTGAACCGAAATTCCAAAGGCTTCAAAAAAGCAAAATTGTATTGCAATGAATGTGTTAGAGGACAGTTACAGTTTACAAGAAGTGTTGAATTACATAATGTGATTGGAGATCTGATGCCAAACATCATTAATCAAAACCTTAAAATGGAAACTAAAGGCATCAGTCTCCACTCAAGAACAATCATAAATCAGCAAATACACTGTAAGTTTTAGAGTCTAATGCAATAAGATGTATGGCTGCAACAAACATGACAACACAGAAGCAACCAAACAACCCAACATTTAACCAGTGCCACCTCTTCTGTAAAGAAGACAGCTTGCCTTCTTCGGCCACAAGGTACATGTGGTTCGAGAGTATAAACGTGAGTGGGAGGACGCTTAAAGCGCTCGTAAGGCTCATGAAATCTCCGAGGAAAGGAAGCAGAGCAGACACGAAGGCGGTTAGAGCTATATACCCACCTCTAAGCGATGTCCTGAACGCCAGGTTACGAGGAACCAGAACGCTTCCTTTAATTTCAAACTTAGAATCAAAAAACTCGTACGTTGGAGATGCAAATATCTGCACGGGGAGTATAATAGTATATGCCAGAGTGAGTACCGATAGGATCATAGGAAGATAGTTGAATGAACAGATAGAGGCGATAATTACATGCATAGATATGATTGCTTGTAAGAACGCAAAAACATTAGAGACGGCCTTTATCCAAGTCGGACCATGAACATTGCTGAGCAAATAGGACGACGAGCTAGACCCATACGCCCAATACCCCACGAAAGTAACAGCAAACATGGGCAGACCGCCTAAAGTAAACTGAAAGTAGAGAGCCTTCATCATGTTCTTTACAGCAGGCGGTCTCACTGTAGCCTATCACAACGAGAATTTATGTAATCGTGAGCGCTAAGTGCAAGTAAAGACGAGTGATTAACCACATAGAACGAGAGCTTACCTGAATCTCTGGAATCATTCCCGTATTAAAAACCAAAAGAACATTTCCAACTCCACAAATAGTAGTAAAAGCCTTGCTTGCTGTTGTTCCAGGAATAGCGTAGTCCCTAGGAGGAGAGTTGATACCTGTAAGATAAAAGACGAGGTAAAAGATACGGTCCCGGTTCCTCCGACCAACAACTAAAGGTAAAACGAGAATAAGCAAATTCGCAAGCACATTGATGATTAGCTGTACAACACGTTTTCCTCAAAGATTAGAAGAACAGATAGCGAGCCTCAGTTGAGGCGTTGTTGACTCTTTGTGCTTTATTAGGTTGAGAAAGTACGTTTGAACAGATACTATAATGTAATAGAGTCAGTAGCAATAAAAGTAAAAAAGAAGAACAGATCAAAGCCGTTAAGGAAAATAGACATATACCATCTTTAAGTGACAAAATAAACGTTGCACACATATAGACCACGCTAAGGAGCATTGAAACCCATAGCCATGCCCTCATCGCTGACAAATTAGGTATTCCAATGGAAAAAAGGGCGCATCCCACTCCAGCTATTGCAATGAAGTGTGGAAGCTTCATTTGATGGTCATCACTAAATAGAACATAAAAGGCCTGGAAGATGAGCAAACGAGAGAATGTCATCAGAACATACATTTAGGCAAGGCAACCTACAAATTCACGGGCTCCTAGGAGTCATAAGAATCGATTTCCATGTTTCAAAAAGCTTACGAATAGTAAATAAATACATGAAAAGCGCCTTTCTAATTCTCGTTTTACTTATCGATATATTGTTACCTTTAAAGCATGGCCACCCAAAATGAGATATCCAACATTTACCAAGAACAGATTTGTATATTGCAATCCCCAAATAACTGAATAAGCAGTCTTACCTGCAACACCAAAGGCCAAATTCAACTCAATTAAGTTCATCTAAATAACTTGAACTAAACCAAGCAATGAATTAAACGAGATTGACAAGCAATGAAGGGGGCACGAACATTTATCCATTACGATTTTTTTTTTTTGGTTTCATACCATAAATAAATCCTGCAAGGTCTCTATATCTGATATGCCTCTTTCCCCCAAATTCATGAAGCTTAGCTAATAGACAACTTGCATATAACGAGATAGCATTTGCTAGGACAAAACCTACCACGCCACCAATCCAACCGAGAGGAACCATGACTGTGCCAGCAAATCCTAGAGCATAAGCACTGTTGAGACCAGTGGTGAGAACAACTCCAGCTTGAAGCCATGAATCTGCATTTTTTTTTTGCAAGACACTAAAACAGGTGAAATAACCATAGGGAACAAGAACTCATTGCCATTTAGGCCAATAATACTCTTACAATAATGACACATGTGACCTTTTTACTACCCAAAAGGCAAAATTCCCTCTCCCTGACTCCCCTAGAGCCCCCACACCCTGGTTCGATAGTGAAGGGGTAAATCATGATAACTCAACGGTCCATTAGGTGGCAGAACCAATGTATGGTGCCCACAAAGAACCCATCATATTGCTTGTAACTCTCACATTTCGACTGTTAGGACTTGATCATATATACTTGCCTACAGGGCTCAGATGAGATGATAACAAAATTTTGGGGAAAATCACACCTAAAAGACTAAAACAGGTGCTCATAGTAATTATTATCCACATGGAACAAGAACCAGCTGAACTATCCACTAATAAATTGTTCTAGCACTGTATATTATGCCATAAAAATTGAATCTTTACATCCAAAGTGATTCAAAACAATAAACAACATATTTTCCCAGAAGAATATAATGAAGAAGAAAACAAGAAGAGAAAGAAAGAGGACCGTGGCCATCCTGGTGAGAACTGTCGGATTTTTCAACATCCATCTGGTCAACATTAAAGCTATGGATATTCCCAGAAGGAGTCTCCCCAACGCCGCCGCCATGGTAGACCAGCATTCCGTCGCTCTCCAAGAGCAACATGCTCTCTTCCTCCCCCTCCTCCGCCTCCTCCTCCGCCGCCACCGCCGCCGCCGCCTCTATCTTGGTCAAATCCATCTCAACCATAGCCTCCCTCGGAATCAAGATCCAATCTCCGAGCTTACAAAGAAAGTCAGATGAGCATTGTCTGAAGCGCGTGGATCCACCAAACGCCCAACTTTCTTGGGTCGCTTCCTTTGCTGCTTATATTGCTTCCCATTTCATCAACCGTAGCCTAACGCCATTTCCATTTACAGTGCATCTTTTTTTTTTTTTTCTTCTTAAAGTTTAACTCTTTTCACCATTTCCAGTTACCTTGTCTGCTTAAAAACGACACCCAGAAATTAGTAAAATTTTTAGAAAGAAAAGAATGAATAGATGAGTTGCCTTCACGTTTAGACGACTTTATCAAAGCCCAAGAAAAGATTAAATTAAACAATTTTATGGTTTCAGCGTCGCTGTCTCGTACAATCAACCCGGAGATGATTTGCTGCTGCAAAAGTCTTACATTGTACACGTACTGTCTGCCTGGCTTTATTTATTTATTTATTTTTATTATTTTTTATTTTTTAATTTTGACTTCAACCTGGCAAAAATGTAAACTTCAACCTGAATAGTATTGTGATTCTTGAGCTAGATTAGAGCCTCTCTCATTAGTTATTCCCACAGCTTCTGTCACCCTCGGGCTGTAATTTCCTCTCAACTGGATTTGAATATTTTATGCGAAAATGAGAGGGTATTTTCGTAATTTTACTTTTCTTTATAGTGGATTAGAGCCCAAAATGAATGGGTTTTTTCATCAATGGGTAATACCCAATAACAGTTATTGCCTTTCGTAAGCCCATCAATGATAATATAAAAGCCCGCTCACAGTATGATAAATTATGGGCTTCGGATTTGAGCTTTTGTAACAAATCATTTAGGTGTTACTTTTTTTTTTTTGAAAACATTTAGGTGTTACTATATTAGGGCAAATTATACTATGGATCAGGGTCTACCTTGCATTGTAGATCGTGGTCCAAAAATAATCTTCAGATTTTATATTTATAGTTGACGCATTCTGTACCTGCAATTGATAATTTCTGTATCCGTAGCTATCATATTGTGTGTCAATAATTATTAAGTCATTTGTTTACATGTACAGAAATGGTTAACTGTAGGCACAAAATTTTTGTATCAAGGTTCACAATGCAATATGAACCCTGGTCCATGGTATAACAATTGCTATATAAGTCCAACATGATTTCCCCATGAAGTTGCATGGAGCTAAGGGCGAACAATTATTATACTATAGATCAGGATTCATATTGCATTGTGAACTCTAGTCTAAACTTTAGGTGTTTACCGTTAACATATTTTGTACTTGCAGATCAAGGGCGGAAATATTGATTTCTTTTTTCTTTTTTTTTTTTTTTGGGTGGGGGGGGGGGGGGGGGGTTGGGGGTGGGGGTGGGGGTATCACCTAGGTTCTCTCGTAAATTGACTAATAACAACATGACATATTTGATAAAGAATTTGGCAAACCTAATAAATATACAATAAGATGCCTTTGCACTATTAAAGATGGAAATGATTGATAGAGTCATGTGTTAGAGTGTTGAAATTATTTGACATCCCAACCAAATTAACAAAAAGAGATTCTAGACAGTGAACAATGGTGTTGATGAGATCAAAAGTTGAACAAAAAACAGTAAATGAAAGGGACTTGAGATAATTATAGTACTCATCACATGCAATTAACATTAATTATTACTACTATTATTATTTATCTCTCCCTTGATCAGGGAAACATATAGAAGAGGTAGGGTAAGCCTTAGAATCCTACTTTAATCATCTTCAACAGATCCACTATCATCTCAAATTGCTACTTGCACTAGGGCTTCTTGCACCATGATCTCAATTGCATAGCATGCTACCTCAATTAAATTCAGACTTGTGGTCAACCACCTCAACATCACAACATGCTTTCAATGAGATTCACAGGGATTCAGATCTGTGGACGGCCAACCTCAACTTCCCAGTATACTTTCAATGGGATTTAAAATGTGACCTGCTCTGATATAAATTGTCAGATTAAACACTTACTATGATGCCTAGAGCTATATATATAGCTAGTAGCGAAGGTGCACACCTTTAATTTATATCTGATAGAGAATGTCTCCGACCCCAAGGCCGATAGCCGAGAGTAGTCGTACCCGAGCAGGCCCGACCGCCTAACATGTTGACCCGACCTGAGGTTGTTGGTCCAAACATGAGTCCACTCGTTAGCTGGGTTTGTTTCTCTTTGTTACGCCCGAGTTTATCTAGTCGTACCGACCCGACCAGCGATAAAGCCCTAAAACTAGTGCGCCTCCATCCGAATACATTACACTACTGGAAATTCTGAAATTTCCGACCACCTGAAAGTGATCTTAAATCAAGTTGAAAGTCTTGTTCCGACCACTTTTGGTATCCGGAAAAACCTTTGTTGCTATTTCCGACCACTTTTTGAACTTTTTGGTATCAACTTAATTTAAGATCATTTTCAGGTGGTCGGAAATTTCAGAATTTCCAGTAGTGTTAGTAGTAGGACCGGTAAATCCAGGAATCTCCAAGCACGTGGAGAGATCAACCAGGCCTTTGACTCACCGTTGTGCATACGCTCCACGTGTCACGCATGCCGAGGGACTGGCATGTGTCGTCTTATAAATACAACATTAAATGCGGTAGGGGGAGGGGGGGGGGGGGGGGGGGGGGGGCTTTGGCCATTTCTAGACCTTTACCTTTAGCCCGAGAACCTCGGACTTCCTGTCACGTAACCCGAACTTAAAGACTTAAACCAACAAGCAACTGAGAGTTGTCAACGCTACACTTTGAAGACAAGATGTTAGACTCTGCTCTTTGAGCCACTGCCCAACAATCCAATATAAACCTCACAACTTTTTGAATTGCATACAATACTAAAAATATTGATATATTCATTGATACTATAGCCTTTTTCATTTATATGTGTAGGGTTTGGAGGTACATGGAGAGTGGGGTTCAAAGAGTTTGAAAAGAAAAAAAAAGGAAGAAAAAATTGGGGCAGGTGAAGGATGTTTATGGGATCCATGCATAGGGCCACAAGTGCCTTCTGGAGTTGAAAAATGATAATTACTAGGGTTTTTCTTGGCAGTTTTATGTGTCCTTGATTCCTCTGTGTAGTCCAAGAGGGAGACACTTGGCCTACATTTTTCCCATTTCAAGACAATTTATACAATTCAATGTCCGATCCAAAATTCTTGCTCCTGACACTACATACCTCTATCCACTTCAATTCTGTTCTCCCACTTAGATTTTTATTAACAATGTTTTACCTACCTCTAAAATAACCCACAATTTTCCAATAAAAAAAAAAAAGAAGTTGATGAGCCATGTGATGAGAAAGGTAGGTTAAATGCTAAATGTTTAAGAAAATATGTATAGGTGATTGAATGGGTTGATGAGCCATGTGATGAGATTGTCCATATTTGGGGTGGTGAGGTTGTTGAAATTTGGAGTCATGTGTTAAAAGGCCATAAAAGAGATTGGTGTACTCAAGTTTCGATTAATCCCTTCGCTGAATTATAAAAATCTCTATTGGGCGGGACAGTTGATTGAAAGTAAACATTAATTCTATATATCTTACATGATACTTGATTGAAACACATACATAACCTTTTTTTTTTTTTTTGTTGCATAAATATAAGTATTCTATATATATATTATTAGACAAACAATAAGAGTTGTACTAGATATATATGGTCTTTCTTGAATCCTCACTTCATTGGATTCCAAAACAAGTCATTACTAGCTGCATGTGAGTTTGCACTAGGAGTACTACTCTTAATGCAGGTAGATTGGCTTTTACACATAATTGACCAAAGAGAGAGAAAGAGAACTAGCAGTCTCTCCAAATTTCTTGAATTGTGTAAACCAATTCAACCTCCAAGCTTTCAATATTGATAATAATCATTATCACTTCTGGCTTTTGGGGTTGAAAGAGATGGGAGAAGGAATTCTAGGGATTGCCATGATATCTTTGAAACCCCTTTTTTTCTTCTCACTTTTAAGTTCATCCCACATAATTTTTTAATATGATTTATTTTTCTATCTGATTTACTAAGTGCACATCTTTAAGTAATGGTTACGAATTTTTTCTGTCACCCAGAAGAAAAGGACATTCTAGGTAAAAAGTTACTTGCTTTTATCTAATAAAGGTGATTTTTTTTTTTTTTTTTTTTGAGTTGAGTCACAAATGATCAAAAGTTTCCAGCTTTGGAGTATTGCTTCACCTAACATATGTAGAAGGCAATTTCCTTTGCCCAAAATTAAAGTATCATACACATCATGCAACCATGGCTCCAAAAATTATGTCATTGACCCGTCACATTTTACTAAAGTATTAATTCTCAAAGTTATTGTTATTTTTTTTGAAACAATTGTCAAAGTTGTTAAAAATCATAAGAAATCTCATTCCATTATAGCAAATTAAGTTAGGATGATAATTGACTTAGATGTTGACTGGCCAAGACTTAGCTCTAACCCTAAAAATTTTTTATTCTATCCATTGATCACTCCCTTTTCCCATCAAAACTACTATTCCATTCCTTGTATATAGTCATATATATAGAATTATACATGTGGCTGAATTTTTTTTAGATGACGAGAAAAATCTGTCACCACTATGTAGTCTACTAGGATCGATTGATAAGGCTAGGTATTGACAAGAATCGATCGTGGCTGAATTGTTTAGTAAATAGAACCATAGAACTTTTGCCAAACTGATGAGAGCAAATTCAAACTTAGGGACCACAGTACACTAAAATACATGTGTATTTGTCTGGGTTGACAACTCATAATGTTTTAGCTAGCTATAGCAAACCCAGAAAATCATGCCAAAATTTTTTCAGTTTTTCATTTTCTTTAAAACAAGAAGCATATCTCCAATATTCTTTTTGGTCAGATCATAAGTTTTCTCTCCCGTCTACTAATATCACACATCGAAACTAATCTATTCGTGCCAGATAAGACCCCTCAAAACTGCAGATCAGATCTCCTATATATGACACCCCAGCAAGTATTAAAATGAGTAAATAATCCTTCTTTAGTTTGTCCACTTCTGGAGTAATAATAATATATATAAATGTGAAGTTTGACGACAATCTAATCAAAATACAATTTTTCTACTAACCCAAAGCAAAAAATAAAAAATAAAAAAATCTCATCACAGTAAAAACTATTGGGTGACAGAAGGTCGTCAGACATGAAAGAACTCGTAGGTTGTTTCACTGATTCTACAGATGAAACAACCTCTGAACTCTTTCGGTTTTTAGTACACAAATCCCTAATCCGTTTCACGCACAGTTTTCCATTTGGATCGATAAGACGTCAAAAGTTATAGTTAGTATCAAAGGCACAACTTTATTTCTTTCTATCTACGATGATGATGATGACAGTAAAAACTAGAAACCATAATTCACTTACATGTTGTTCTTGGTAAACATCGGTGGCGTACGATGTTATCAGAATCAGATCTTCGGATACTGGAAGCTAACGAAGGAGATGTCCAGAGGGATAGCATGATCCGCAGTTCTCTCTCTCTGTCTATATATATGTGTGTGTGTGTATATATATGTGTATATATATTGGTGTGAAAGTGAAATGGGATCAATGCGATCCCTTTGGACGTCTCCTTCCATTGCCATGAAAACCGAGCTTTATCTTCTTCTTGTTCTTCCTGAAATCTTCATTTTTGGCTAGCTTGGTGGGGTGGGGGGAGAGACAGAAGAAAGTGGTGAAGGGGTGAGTATAAAAGATGAGAAGAAAAGGTATCAGAGCAATATTAAAAAATAAAAAAACTTGTTGGTATATAATATATGTCCCTGCTGCTTATTTTATAGTCTTTGAGATCAATGACAAATCATTAGGAGGATTTTTTTTTTTTTTTAATTTTGCTTTTTTAAGGTTTTTTTTTTTTTTTTTTTTTTTTTTGGGTACTTGGTATAATTATGTACTTTATTTGAATTTATTAGATATTGTCAACACTTGTTTTTACTGATGGAGAAAGCAACCTCAGCTAAATTGATATGTTGACTTGTTAATCATAAAGCTCGATCTAAGTTTGGCTTTCTTGGGAAGCTGCTTATAAGCAGTCGGTCAACCTAAGTTGGTTAACTTCCTTGTAATATATCCATTGTTGGCTAGGATCACAAGGTGTGTTATCTAGAAGCGCATATTTGAGTAGCGGCTACAATTTTTTTCTGTAAATCAAAGTACTCAGAACAAAGCAACCAACATATATTATGCATGAGGTACTATGCAGTATTAAAAATCAAATTCATCAACAAAAAAAAAAAATTCATAGCTAACCAGTACTATATGGTCTAATGGTACCTGGGTTGGACTTTCATTTGGAATGTTGTGAGTTCGAATTTCAGTGGAGACGTTATTGGTTCTTTGTGTTTCTATAGAACATAGAGTAAATAGTATTTTTTAAAAAATAAATAATTTTTTTCCTCTTGAGATTTTTTTTTTTGGGAGGGGGGGTTAATTGGTAGACCCCATGCCCTAACAGACCAGACACATGGGAGAAGGTTTTACCAGTCATGGGTCAGCCACCCATGGGAAATTCCAAACAAGTTGGATGGTAAGTAAAAATTACTAATTTCTAGTTGAAATATATATATATATTTTTCATTCTAAATTTATCTTGTTTCTATATTCTTGTAACGTGATAATAATTTTTTTTAAATATTTATTAATGTGAACATTAGAAAATAATTTTTTATTTTCTTAATTATGTAAGATTTCCCATCATATTACTTTTTAATTATAAGAAATAACCATAATAAAATCTCAAACAAGCTACAAACAATCAGATTGAAAAATCTCATTAAAAAAGCTTTGAAGGTTGGCTGAGTAGGTGAAGCATATATATATGATTTTTGTACTTAAATGTCACATTTTCGATTCTTGTCAACACTTTCTTAGTTAAATCTGTCGCACAGAATCTTCTTAGTGCGATTTTTTTTAATGTGATTTGTGAACTATTACATAAGAAAAATATTTAGAAGAAATGCAAATCATTTACCACATAAATCTACAAATTTTAGTATCAATCAAATTTTAGAAATATAATGTACGTATTTCTTGTCGTTGAAGGTCCCATCCATTTTCCTCTCCGCTCCGCTCCAAATATTATGCTTATTCCATGATGATTACACAGCCCCCACCCCCTCAGCTCTCTTCCTATTTTAAATGTGTACATATAATTAATCTGGCCAGTTGGCTATAGATTATAATTAAATATTCTATATTTTTGGTTGGTCAAAGATACATTTACATATTTTATAGTCTTCCAGATCAATGGAAACATTGTTTATTTAATTAATAAATTCAAATCTAAAAACAATACTCCTAGCTAATTGTGGT